GTGGGATTGAACGTGTGTACAACCATACCTGGCAAACTAGAAAGCCCTTCTGACAATAGCACCATGTCCTGGGCCAGGGATTTAGCCCAGTGGTTCTGCCGCCTGCCCCTCGAGCACAAGGAACCAAGTTCGATCCCCAGTACCAAAACAAAACAAAACAAAAAACACCATGTCCTGCTCTCTATGGCACCCTCAGGATCTGAACTATCCCTGGCATGCAATAGTAATCAATAAATGTTGCATTTATTAGTAAGATTTCATTCACAACTCAAAAATCTTATCTCCCTTAAGGTTTTTTTTTTTTTTGGCAAAACCTTTATTAGTACATTTTAGATATATAAAACATTCACCATAGGGAATCTCTACATAATATATCTTGCTTCTTTTTTTGCCATCCCCCCCCCTTGACCCCTCTCCCCCTCATTTACAAAAGCTTTATTTCCATTATTTCCTTCTATTCTTTTTTCTTTCCCTGTCCTGTCTTTCCTTTCCCCCTCCTTCTCTCCATCGTTTTCCTCATTCTGCTCTCCTTGAACATTTTCTTCCCATTTCCCAATATCTAGTATCCATTTTGGTCCTTTATACACTTTCAGTTTCTCATACCAGAAAGACATCTTCTTTATCCATTTGTCAGTTGATGGGCATTTGGGTTGTTTCCAAGATTTAACTATTACAAACTGTGCCACTATAAACATGGGTGTGCATATATCACTGTGGTATGATGCTTTTAATTCTTTCAAGAAGACATCTAGAAGGGGAATAGCGGGGTTGAAAGTTTCTTTTCAAATTTCATTATCTTTTGAAATAGTTCTTAAAATTCCAAAATAGCTGGCAGTAGGGCCAGAGATTTAGCTCAGTGGTGCCGCTACCTGCCTCGCAAGCACAAGGTCTCAAGTTCGATCCCCAGTACCAAAAAAAACCCACACCAAAATAGCTGCCAGTTGTGATGCACACCTGTAATCACAGCACTAAAGAGGCCGAAGCAAGAAGATCATGAATTTGAGGCCAGTATGTGCTACAAAGTGAGTTCACAGCCAACCTGAAGTTCAAAGCAAGACCTGGTCTCAAAACAAAAACTTTCCAAAAAAAAAAGTTTTCCTTTACTATCTAGAACACTTGTGACCACCTTTTCTGACACAGACAACCTAAACACATGTTAACATTAATCCAAGAGAAATGTTATTATACAAAATAGGAATGGAATCTAGCCACATAGCCAAATACTATGCATACCACACTTTGAAATTTTTATAATCCCCATGCATTCAACAATTTTACAAAAGATTAAACTAAGGCTTTTCCTGGCTATTACGGCTTTCCTCCTGATAGCCCACCTTGTGTCCTCTATGGTGTACCTTTTATCTTGTTTTCTCCTCTTTTACTTGGCCCAAGCTGTCTCTGTAGAGCCAGTTGGTCCCTTACTGCATTTTTTCAAATAAAATATTTTCACCATTAAAAAAAAAGTCTTTCCTACAATGAGACTTGGTAATTTCATGAAGTATACGAATACCTACTGTGTACAAACCTGTGAAATTCTATACTTGTAAGCACTTCCACACTTTCCAGTCTCCACTTTCTATTCTTACATCTGTCTTACCATCTTACTGCCCATTTGCTTTTATCTATTCTATAGTGCCAGTACCATTAAAGAAACAACTGCTCTTCTGGAATAGATATATCAGCACTCTTTTTCCTGTTTTTACTTTTTTTTTCTTCCCCAATACGGGGAATCAAACTCAGGATCTTGTGCTTGCCAGCAGACAAGGAGCCACTAAGCTACATCCCTGGCCCCTTTCTTCCTGTTTTGAGAATTGAAATAACTTCTGAAAGCAGCCAACAGTCATTCAAAGCCATGTCTGATGAACATCAAGGGAGATCACACCAAGTGAGTATTCTATGTGTGGGATGACTCGAAAGTAACAGCACTGGTCGTCTCTTGTAGCTTTAGATAACTCTAAGGCATTGATGGTAAAAGTAGCTTCTGATGTGACTACATCAAAGAACATCACTTTCCTTGCCACTTGCTCATCAAGAGTTTGATCATGGAAAAAATGTTTATGATATTAAGATTAACTGAAACTTTCAGAATTCTGTATAATATATACCATAATCCAAAAGATAAAAATAAGTATATAGCCAAGAATAGTGGCACACACCTGTAACCCCAGCACTCAGGAGAACTGCCACGAGTTCAAGGCCAACCTCAGCTACACAGCGAGTTCAAGACCAGCCTGGACTACACATAGCAAGATCCCGTCTTAAAAAAAAACACCAAAACACCAAAAATCAAAAAACAAAAAAAACACAAAAGTCCTCCTCCTTCAGCTTTTCACATAGCTAGGACTTCAGCTGTGCATTATCAAAAGTCATCAACACAAGTCCATTACATGGCTAGGGAGGTGGCTCAGAGGTAGAGCACTCTTGATGCCCTGGGATTAATCCTTAGTATCCAAAAAAAATTTTTTTTTGTTCACTTTTAGGAGGATGGGAGCCTGGCTCAGTGGCAGAGTGGGTGCTTAGCAAGTTCAATCTCCAGCACCACAAAAAAAAAAAAAAGACCAAATTAATTTATATAGTGGCCTATCCAGGAAACAAGTTGTACAGACTAGCAAACAAAAACAGAAAGAAAGCAATTAAATGAGTCTATTTATCCCACCACACTTTGGGTTTTGTGTTTATCTAAAAAAACTGTTGCATTTGAAAAAATAGCCGGGTGTGGTGGTGCATGCCTTTAATTCCAGCATTTGGGAGGCTGAGGCATGAATACTGCTGCCAGTTCCAGGCAAACCTGGGTAGCATAGTGAGTTTAAGGCCAGGCTGAACTACATAGTGAGTAGTGAGACCTTGTCTCAAAAAGCATGTGCAGGAGGGCCGGGATTTGGCTCAGTGGTTCCAGCGCCTGCCACGCAAGCGCAAGGTCCGGAGTTTGATCCCCGGGCCCCCAAAAAAGCAAGTGCAGGGCCAGGGATTTAGCTCAGCAGCACAGCGCCTGCCTGGTAAGTAAGGTCCTCAGTTCGATCCCGGCACCATTAAAAGAAAAAGCAAGGGCTCGAGATTTAGCTCAGTGGTTCCACCGCCTGCTGCGCAAGCCCAAGGACGTGAGTTCGATCCCCGATACCAAACAAAAAAAAAGAAACTTAAAGATTTTTTTTTTTGGTACCGGGGATAGAACTAGGGACCTTGCACTTGCGAGGCTGGCGGCAGAACCACTGAACTAAATCCCTGGCCCTTAGTTTAAGGACAGTAATTCACATAACAAAATAAATGTTACCTTAAATCATCTCTAGGAAATCTAAAGAAAAGATTAATGATATTCATTACTCTGTGATTCACGTCAAAGATTTTTGCATATAAACATAATGCAGCAATATTAATTTATATACACAATAACCTTCTAATTTTCTTCCATAACGATGACTTCGTCAGACATTGGGAAATCCACTACACTTTTAATATAAAAAAATCAATCACAAAGTTTCAAGATATTATGCAAAGTAACCATTCCATTTCTCATCTCAGTTTTACAACACTTTATTTTACCAGCTTCGAGGTCATGTTTCATGTCCCGAGACAGTTAACCCTCCAACATCGAATGAGCATCGTAGAGAAAAAAAAAATTAGCTTTAATAATAAAACTGCAGGGCCAGGGATTTAGCTCAGTGGTTCTGTCGCCTGCCTCCCAAGTGCAAGGACCCGAGTTCAATCCCCAGTACCAAAAAAATAAATAAATAAAATAACAATAATAAAAACTGCAACTTGCATACAACCTATATTGGTTAAAAGAATGCAAAACCGTACCCAACAAGACCTTGCATATCTAACTCTTAAGAATATTAACAAGGAGTCCTTCTCTGCCTGCATTTAGCCAATGACAACCAGTGAAGTATAGATTCGTTAAGAGGAGGGAATTCATTCTGACCTCCTTCCAAAACGACAAACTAGAACGGCAAAATTACACTCGGGCACATGGAGTACTCTTCCCTCAAATCACTCCACAGAGAACTACATCATTTGCTCCGCCCTCTAATAACTCATGCAAAAAAAGTTCAGCACCATCAGAGAGAAACAGACAGAATTTACAGAACGGCTCAGGGCCTTTCCTCCAGGCTGTTAAGAGAATCTGCGTGTGCCCTTCTCAGGAGTCCAAAGGGAAAGAAAAAGGAAAATAACCCAGGCCTAAGGTTCTGAGGGGGATATATCGACTCCCAGATACGGATCTCGCTCAGAGAAGTTTCTGCCGCCATCCCTGTTTCATCAGGAGGCTCTGGCGCCATCGTCTCGGTCTCGAGGATTTTATGATGGGGAGGTGGGAAACGCCACAGAGGGTTCGGATGGGCCTTCCCCAAGGAAGCTTGGGGGTTCCCGCTCATTCTTCTCCCACAGCCCCAGTCCCCAAGGTGCTCCTGGACACCCCGTTTCTGGCGGCTGGTCCCTCGGGCGTGCAAAGGCGCTGGCGACCCTACCGCGCTGCCGATAGGGCCCTAAGCAGTCAGAGCCACCGCGAGGGCTCCGGGGGGCCCCTGAAAGGGACTGAAGGGCCGGGGACCGGGCAGGTGACCTGGCTGGGGGAGAAAGATAGGGGTAAGGAGCCGGGAAGCCCCGCAGCCCCTTTCCCGCTGCCCCGAGAGCAGGAGGAGGAGGGGACGCGGAGGAAGAGAAGGGCGGTGGCCCAGGCGCGGCCCCCCACCCTCCGCCCAGGTCCCCGGCCGGCGGTGGGGACCCGGGCTCGGCCCAGCCCCCCCTCAAGGCTGCCAGGGGGGCGTGGGGGTTTCGCTCCAAACTGCCGGGAAACAAAAATGAGGGGCTGGGGGCGCCATGGGCGCTGACTCCCGGCCGAACCCGAGACCCCGGAGCCGATGCCGCCGCTTCCTCAGGAGGGAGGACGCGAGCCGCGGGGGGGAAGCCTGAGGGAGGCGCGAACCGGGGCAAGAGAAGCCAGGGCAGCCCCGCCGCCCGCCCCAGGACCCCACTTTCCACCTTCCGGTAACCGTGTCGCTCACCGGTGATGGCAGTGAACTGCTGGATTAACCCCTTCAGCGCTGACGCCGCCGCCGCCGAGCCCCCGTGGGCAGCCATCTTGCCGCCGCCGCTGCCGCCGCCGCCGCCGCCGCCGAACAACAACACAGACACACACGGCCGCCCTCCCCCACCTCGCCGCTCCCAGTTCGCAGGCGCAGCGGCCCGTGCGCTCCGCCCACCCAAGACCCGCCCCTTGCGGGAGGTCCGCGCGAGCGCACTAGCCCTTCCCCACCCCCAACCAGCTCGCTGCTCTCAGCTTGGGTTTGGCTGCTGACTGGCTGACCGCTCTCCGCGTCCTCTTTGCAACCTCGGATGCCTTCTCCCGGCTCTCCGGCCCATCCTAGTTTCCAAGGGAAGAGTCAGTCACAGGTTCTTCGAATTTCAGCTTTACAAGCTTTCCTACCAGACTCAACTGTCGATGGCAGTTTTGGGGGTTCTTTTAGGTTTGTCGTGTCCGTTCCGTCCCGTTCCCCCCCCCCCGGTTCTGTACTTCTGCTAGGTTTCCTGCAGCTCTTAGAATACAAATCTTGGGCTAGGAACTTAGCTCAGTGGTAGAGCACTTGCCTAGCATGTGTGAGTGAGGTCCTTAGTTCGAGCCCCAGTACCACACACAAATAAATTAATAAAAATAAAACTTACATCTGCGGGCCAGGGATTTAGCTCAGTGGTTCCCCTGCCTGCCTCGCAATCACAAGGTCCCAAGTTCGATCCCTGGTACCAAAAACAAACAAACAAAAAAAACTGGCATAATTTAAAACTTACATCGGCATCGTCGAGCTGACCCCCTGTGCGGCGATCCATCCAGCAGAAATAAAATAATGTACTAGATCCCTTCTTGCGATCCGTCTCTGTCAAGAAGGCAGTGGGCCCAGGGACTGATGTAAAGTAGACTTGTAAACAACTGGGCATGGTGGTGCATGTCTGTCATCCCAGCATTCTGGTAGGCTGAGGCAGGAGAATTGCAGCTAGTTCAAAGCCACCCTGGGCAATTTAAATAAAAAGAGCTGGGGATGTAGCTCACTGTAAAGGCCTTGGGTTCCATCCCCACTCACACACACCCCAAAAGAAAACTTTTCTTCAATAAATTTGTCAACACATCTGCTCTCACAGTTTCCTTTTTTTTTTTTTTTTGTACTGGGTATCGAACTCAGAACCTTGCCTTTGCGAGGCAGGCAGTGGCACCATTGAGCTAAATCCCTGGGCCATCATAGTTCCTCACCTATAAATCAAAGAAGTGTCACTTATTTACAAAGCAAATGTGTCTGTGTGTATGCAGTAATGAAAGGTACAGAAAAGGTACTAGAAGAAGGTTCCCAAAGCACTGATAATAAAGATTATTTTTAGGGGAAAATAGATGTGACAGTGAAAGGCGACTTTGAGGGGTTTTATTCCATATTTAAAGACAAAGCTAACAGTATGTTACTTACACAGTTTTTTAATTTTGTATTTATTTTTATTTGCACAAATTTAAATATTTTTAGAAAAACGTATGAGTGTGGTGATATCACATCTGGTGATTTCCACAAGGATAAAGTTAAACCCAGGTGTGATGGCGCACACCTGTGATCCCACCACTCAGGAGGCTAAAGCAGAAGGATCGCTGTGAGTTCTAGGCTAGCCAGCCCTACTTAGCGAGAGGTTATCTTAAAAAACCAAAAAGAAGACAGGGAAGCTCTACCTTGAGCGTGGTCTCATTTATCCAGTATTATCTGAAGGAGCGGGGAGATCAGGTCTACACACTGAGGAAATTTGACCCTATGGGCCAACAGACTTCCCCAGCCCACTCGCTCCTCCCCAGATGACAAGTACTCAAGAGACACTGAATCACCATCAAGAAGCACTTCAAGGTGCTCAGGGCCCAGGCCCTGGTGCAGGTCCTCTGAGGGCTCCTGTAATGTCCCATCGCCACAAGTAAATATACCTGAGTGCATCTCTAAAATCATGAAAAAAAATGTGTGTGTGTGGTTTTTTTTGTTAGCTTGTTTGTTTGTTTTGAGTCAGAATCTCACTGTGCAGTTCAGGCTGGCCTTGAACTCACTAGCCTCAGCCTCATGAGTGCTGGGATTACAGGCATGTGCCACCACACCCAGCAAGATCCCATTTTAAAAAAAGAAAAAAAGCTGTGGATTCTTCTTGTGGATTTAGGAATGATCCATTTTCACCACAAAGTACATTACCAGCCCCCACCCCGACCCCTGCAGTTTCATTTTCCATAATTTAAGTTTCCTACAATCAACTACAGAGTTACATCGAACCATCAACAGCATCATGGTGCAAGGGTCACTTGAAGCAGAAGGTCATGGCACCTGAGGCCAGCACTACTCCTGGCAAGATGTCAGAAGGTCAACAGGCTGAGTGTAGTGGCGGACACCTATAATCCCAGCACAACTTGGGGGGATTAAGCAGGAGGATTGCCATGACTGGGCTCCGTAGTGAGTTCAAGGCCAGCCTGGCCTACACAGAAGGGCCCTGAGTGAACAAAAACGAAACAAACCCTATTTAGAAGGTCAGTAGTGGTCTAATCCTTCACGTTTTTCTTGCAGATCTGAGGATCAAACCCAGGGCCTTGCACATTCTACGCAAGCACGCTATCATCGATCTACATCCATTCACCACATTTCTTCCGACATTAGCACAATATGAAAGGTGAGTACAGTACAAGACGTTTTGTGAGAGAGACTACATTCACAGACTTTTATTATAGTATATTACTGTCATTTCCTCTTCCTGTTGTGTGTGTGTGGGGTACTGGGGATCGAACCCAGGGTCTTTGCACTGAGCTACATTCCCAGCCTTTGAGACAGGGTCTCTCTAAAGTAAGTTACCTGTAGGGGCCAGGGGTTTAGCTCAGTGGTTCCGGCGCCTGCCGCGAAAGCGCAAGGTCCCGAGTTCAATCTCCAGCTGTACCCGAAGTATGGCTACATCCCAGGATGTGCGTGCTTGTCGACACCCCCTGCCCCCCACCTCCGTCTTCCTCCGCATCACAGGCTCTGCTGCTTGGGCCCCGCCCTACTGTACCAGTTCTGTCTCGTCCCCTGCAGAGGGCGCCTCTGTGCCCAAAGGGCCTCTGGGCGACCTGTCTGCACCCTGGGTTTACAGAGAAGGTTAGCGCTCCTCTCTGAGGTGGTCTGCGGCTGTCTGCTCAGTCCCCACATTGCTTTGGAACAGACAGGACCCAGAACACAGGATGTCCTCCAGAGACACCCACTTCATCCGAACACACTCTGCTTCTCTCCCTTTCTCCCCTCTCTCAGCCTAGGGAATCTTTATTCAGTCTGTCTCCATCAACATTGGATTCTTACACATCTATTATTGCTTTGTTTTTTGAGACGGCTTTGCTATGTAGTTCAGGCTGGCCTTGAACTCACTATGTAGCCCAGGCTGGTCTCGAACTCATTGTGATCCTCCTGGCTCAGCCTCTTGAGTGCTGGGATTGTAGGCATGTGCCATCATCCCCTGCAGTTATATGTTTTCAACCACTCTACAGGGAATCTTTTAGGAGGTTTAGAAAGCATTCAGAGAGGCTGGGGCTAGATGCTAGAAGCAGGATTTGATCCCATTTCTGTTTGATTCCGGAGTCTCGTTCCCGTGGTCTTACCATGCACCATAGGCATCTGGAAGTGTAACCTGAATGTCCCAGGCCTAGTCGGCAGGGGGGAAATAAGGTCACATCAGCACTTACCCTAACTGTGGTTGGCAGGTCACCTGCCCTCGCTCACACAGAACCTCAGCCTCCTCCAAAGCGTCTCAGACACTCAGGATCAGATTCTCTGTCCAGTATTGCTGCTCTCACGCTCCTCTCTTGCACAGAGGACAGACACATGCCTGCCACTTGTGGAGCCCTGAGTAATGAAGTTGTTTTTCTCTGTTCAAGAATCTCACTGTTGGGCCTGGGATTTAGCTCAGTGGTTCCGCTGCCTGCCTCACACGTGCAAGGTCCCGAGTTCAATCCCCGGTACCAAAAAAAAAAAAAAGAATCTCACTGTCTTAGCCACTTTCCTTGTCACTGGACAAAATACCCGATGCCCACAAGTTAAAGGAGGAAAGGATCATTTTGGCTCACAGTTTGTAGACTTGTAGGCAGGGTGGCAGGGCACAGGGACATCAAAGAGGAGAGCTGCTCAGCCATGGTGACAGGAAGCAGAGAGATCAAGGGAGGAGCTGGGAGGGAGATGAAGCTTCCCAGGCCAGGCCCCTCTGCTCTACAGCACATTCAGCTATAAACTCACCAGTAGACTGATCCCCCAGTGTGCACCGTGCCCCTGATTCATTACCTCCCCAAACCCCCACCTTCGAGTGCAAGAGGCTTGGGTGGGGGGCATCAGCTCTAAGCCATAACAAGCATGTCTTTGAGCAACATCCCTGAAAGAGCAGCAGGCTACTTCCTCATAAAGGAAATATGTAAATATGTAAATATGGTGGAATGCATCCCAGACCCGACACCAGCACAGGTCTGAGTTCAGGTGCTCTGCCCAGGCAGAACTGGTGGTGACAGCAGTGGCCATTGTGGGGCAGGAAAGCCAGGGGACTCCAAAGAGGTGTCATCATCATGTTTCTCTCTCATTAAATCTCTTAAATTCCTTTCCTACTCACTCTCAGCTGACACCAGGAAAACCAGAGCTGTCAAGCAAGAACTCCTGGAGCTGTAACCACTAAGCTCATGAATCTATACACAAATGCACTCACACTGTTTCCTCTCTCTCTTCCTTCTGTAGGACAGGAAATCTTTATAGCATCACAACTCAAAATAGTTAAATTTTGGGCCAGGGATTTAGCTCAGTGGTGCCACTGCCTGCCTCACAAGTGCAAGGTCCTGAGTTCGATCCCCAGTACCAAAAAAAAGTTAAACCTTGGAAGTGGCCTACGTGTCCATCAACAGATGAATGGATAAAGAAAATGTGGTATTTACGCACAATGGAGTACTACACTGCCATAAGGAAGGATAAACTTGTCATGCATAGGAAAATGGGTACACCTTGAGACTATCATGTTAAGACCATAACAAAATAAATCAGACACACAAGCTTAAATATTATGTGGTTTCTCTTATATGAAAAGCCCAAGGTATAAATAAATTAAAGACCAAAGTAAAAGGTAGGTAATAGGAAATAGGAAGGTTGATCTTTTATAAATGGGAAAGGACCAAGAAATAGGAAGGAGGGGAAGTAAAAAGAATTAGTATGTATTATATACATATACTAACTCCCCACAATAAATACAGTCATTATTTACTCCACGCAAATACTGATAAAAATAAAAATGTGTTTACTTATTTATTTAGGGTTTTTTTTTTGTTTCAGATCTCACTATGTTTCCAGGGCTGGCCTCAAACTCTCAGTGATATTCCTGCCTCAGCCTTCTGAGCTGGATTTACAGGCACATACCACTAACCTGGTTGAAAATGAATTTTTTTGAAGGGGGGTGGTATTGGGGATCAAACTCGGGACCTTGCGCTTGTGAGGCAGGTGCCGGAACCACTGAGCTAAATCGCTGGCCTGAAAAATTTTTTTAAAGTAAAGAAAATTGCCGGGCATCGTGGCACATGCTTGTAGTCCCAGCACTTGGAAGGCTGAGGCAGGAGGATCACTGCAAATTTGAGGCCAGCATGGGCTCATAGTGAGTTCAAGGCCAGCCTGAACTTCAGAGTAAGACCCTGTCTCAAAAAAAAAAAGTGTGGAAAATCTTACTGAACCTTGGGCTTCCCTCCCCATGCCTTGTGTTGGGGATCAAACTCAGGGCCTCAAACATACTAGGAATCCTTTACTATTATTGAGCTACACTCCCAGCCCCAGCTTTAATCACAAGAAGTAAACATGGTTATCCAGATGTGGCAGTGCCTGTCTGCAATCCCAGCTTTGAGGGAGGCTGAAGCAGGAGGATCATGAGTTTGAGGCTAGCCTGGGCAATGTATAAAGATCCTCTCTTAAAAAAAGAAAAATAAAAGAAAATAAATAAAACAAGAAAAAAATGTGATTTACAAAGTTCAGATGTTATATATGTAACTTTTATATTGATTTTATATGGTTTATATTTCACTGAGCAGCCCATGTTGCTTGAAAGAGCCCAGGCCTAGACTCGGATCTGGATAGAAACCCTGGCTTTCCCTCCTATCAGAATCACCTTTCGGGGCTGAGGATTTAGCTCAGTGGTTTCGCCACCTGCCTAGCAAGCTCAAGGACTCCAGTTCCATCCCTGGTACCAAAAAAAAAAAAAAAAAAGAAAGAATCACCTTGGGAAGGGTCAGATCCCCAGTCTCAGGTTCTTCCCTTAGAAAGTTGGGGACACCATTCCCGTCCTAGAAATATAGAACCGCACGCCCCCTTCCTTTTCTTCTAAACAATTAAAAAAAATCACATCTTACTCCCACACCAGGTTAAATATCAAATGAATTTATTGTTGAACTATAAACAATAAAACTGTATGTGTATTGGTGACATGGGGTGAAAACCACTTAAGCTGTGTACTGAGAAAATCTTTTATTTTGGAAACAAGATCTCATTATGCAGTCCAGGATGGTCTTAAACTTTCAATCCTCCTGTCTCAGCCTCCTAAAAGCTGGGATTATAGATGGGTGCCACCATACCCAGCTGAGGAGATCCTTTTACGAAACTAAATAAAATTTAAAAACCATTTTTTAAAAATTGAAAAAATTAGCTATCTCAAGATTAAAACTGCAGCATGGCAGATATAAAAAAAAAACCTCAAGTGACAAAATGACAAACTGGTGTCACAATACAAGACCCCACTCAGTCGAATTTGCTGCTAAGGAAGAGGGGTGGCTGCTGCTGGCCAAGCAAAGCCACACTGCATGCCCACTGCTGATCTCAGGCGGCCTTTAGGAGGCATAGTATCAGCTGCCTTGGTGACAGAGGCAGGTGGTTGGGATCAGCCTTAGAAGTATGTTTTCTACCCGGCATGATGGCACACATTTGTAATCCCAGCACTTGGGAGGCTGTGGCACAAGCATTGCAAGTTTGAGCCCTGCCTAGGCGACTTAGCAATTTAGTAACTTAGCAAGACCCTGTCTCAAAATTTTAAAAATAAAAAAAACAAAAAAGGGTCTGGAGATGTAGTTCAGTGGGAAGGCCCTGGGTTCAATCCCCAGTAATACACACACACACACACACACACACACACACACACACACAGAGCTGTCACTGATTGGCTGGTTTCAGAGGTATATTCAGAGATCAATCAAGTTGTCACTGGCAGATCACACAGCTCCGTAACACCTTCTGGTGGTGATTTGTTACCATGGCTACACAACCATCAATCTTTCCCAGAGTGTGGGGAGTTTGGGGACTTTTATTCTCAGGGAGAAACTTTTTTTTTGGTAACTGACTACACTGAAAGGGTCAAACTTCCTAATTTATAAAGAGCCCCCAGAAACTGAAAATAATACCAACAGACCAATTGAAAAATAAGCAAAGAACTCGAAGAGAGAAATAAATGCAAATGGTCTAAAACAGTGAGGGAGAAAAGGAAAAACAAAGAAAACATCCTTGGACTGGAGGTGTAAGCCATGAATAGAGAGCACACTTAGCATGTTAGAGACCCAGGGTTCAATTCCAGCACCAAAACACATAAAAACATCTTTATCTAATTCACAATAAATGTTTTCTGTAGTAACTGCTCTTAAACCTTCCAGAAAAACCAACCGTATTCAATAAAATTAAGGTACAATAGCAGGACATTCCATGGAAAAATCATTTAAAATAAATGTTTAAGAAAAACATATGATACATAAAAAATGACTTCTTAAAGCTAAAGAAAAAAGGGGCAGCTGGGCATGGTGGCACACACCAGTAATCCCAGCACTCGGGAGTCTGAGGCAAGAGAATTTCTGTGAATTAGAGGCCAGCCTGGGCTACAGAGTGAGTTTCGGGCCAACCTGAACTTCATAGCAAGACCCTCTCTAAAAAATAAAATAAAATAAAAAATAAGCAAATGAAAGGGGGGTTTGATGTGTAACATTAAAATTTCTACTGCTTCCTTCTACATATTTAAGTCTTAGAATAATTAGCTCATATTTATTTTTTTATCCTGTGACTTATTCTTACCAAAGAAAAATTTGTATATGATTTTAAAACTATGCTTTTAAATGTACTGAGGCCTGGGAATATAGCTCTGTGCTAAGTGCTTGTCCTCAGTATCACCAAAAAAATCCTCATTTTAGTAGGCTGAGGCAGGAGGATCAGAAAATCAAGGCAGCCAGGGCAACTTGGCAAGATCCTGTCTCAAAATGAAAAGTAAGAACTAGAGATGTAGCTCAGCGTAAGGGCCCTGAGTTCAATCCCCAGTACCATACACATACACACACACACACACACACACACACACACACACACACATCACACTGTGCAGCCTGGGAAGCTCTCTACAAGGTGGCTGATGCTCATAATCCCGGAATTTGGGAAGGTGAGGCAGAAGGATTGCAAATTTGTGGTCAACCTGGGCTACATAGCAAAATCCTATCTCAAACAACAAAAGAGCTGGGGCTGTAGCTCAGTGGTGGAGAACTTGCCTAGCATAGGTAAAGCTCCGAGTTCAATCCCCAGCACCAAGACAAAGCAACAACAAAACAGAACAAAAATACTACTAGTTTGATTAAACCAGTTTATTTATTTATTTTCGGGGTGGGGGGTAAGTTCTTGCTATGTTGCCTGGGCTGACATTGAACTACTGGGCTCAAGTTATCCTCCTGCCTCAGCTTCCAATGTAGCTGGGAATATGGACTTTTGCCAGTAGACCTGACTCTGAATTCATGTAATTTTTGTCTTTTTGCTATGTAGTTCAGGCTGGCTTTGAACTCACTATGGAGCCCAGGCTGGCCTCAAATTCACAGCAATCCTCTTATCCCAGCCTCCTGAGTACTGGAATCACAGATGTGTACCACCACACTTGGGTAATTTTTTTATTGGTACATTTTACATATACATAATGATAACATTCATAATAGGGAATTTATACCTGTACGTGTTATATCTTACTTCTTCTTTTTTCCCCATTCCCCTCCCTTCAACCCCTCTTCCCTGCCTTATTTACAAGACCTTTGTTTCCATTTTTTCCTTCTATTCTGTTTTTTTCTTATGCTTCCTTTCCTTTCCCCTCCCTCCCCTTTTCCCCTTCTCATTTGAACATTTCCCAATATCTATATACATTTTGGTCCTTATTTCCACTTTTGGTTTCTTTCTTTCTTTCTTTTTTCTGGGTACTGGGGATCGAACTTAGGAACTTTTGCTTGCGAGGCAGGCACGGTGCCACTGAGCTAAATCCCCGGCCCATCCATTTTCAGTTTCTCACACCAGAGAAACAATGCAGTATTTAAACATGTGTGTCTAATTTATTTCACTTAAGAGTATGGTTTCAAGGTGCATCCATTTAGCTTGAAATGTCTCAAGCTTATCCTTCTTTATATCAGAGTAGTACTTCATTGTATAAAAACACATCTTCTTTATCCATTCATTGGTTGATGGGCATTTGATTTGGACTGTTTCCAAATGCTTATCTCAGCATTACAAATTGTGTCGCTATAAACACAGGCGTGCATTTATCACTGTGGTATGATGCTTTCAATTTTTTCAAGAAGATACCAAGAAGGGGAATAGCTAGGTTGAATGGAACCTTTAACTTTAGTTTTTGGTTTTTCGGGTTTTTTGGTACCAGGGATCAAACTTGGGACCTTGCACATGTGAGGCAGGCGGCAGAAACACTGAGCTAAACCCCCAGCCCTAGTTTTAGTTTTTTGAGGAATCTCCACACTGATTTCCACAGTGATTGCACCAGTCCACACTCCCACCAACAGTGAAGAAGGGCTCCTTTTTTCTCTACAGCTCCTCCAGCATTTGTTATTGATTTCTTAATAACAGCCATTCTTTCTGGAGTGAGATGGAAGCTCAGAGTTGCTTTAATTAGAGAAATGACCAGTGATGTTGAACATTTTTCTTATATTTATTTCCATTTCTACTTCATCTGAAAAGTGTCTGTTCTTTTCAGATGCCCATTTTTGTATTGGGTCTTTAAATTGGGGGGCCTGTTTTTTTGAGTTCTTTGTATATTCTAGATATTAGTCCTTTGTCTGAGGAACAGCTGGTAAGAATTTTTTCCCACACTGTGGGTTGGCTCTTCACTCTGTCAGTGGTTTCTTTTGCTGTGCAAAAGCTTTTTACTACGAAGAGATCCTAGCTGTTGATTCTTTGTGATATTTCCTGTGCGACTGGGATTTTGTTGATAAAGTTTTTCCCTATCCCGGTGTCTTTGAGAGTTCTACATATTGAGGTCTGCCCACACCCTACCGAGGTCCCCAGTCGCGCGGAACACACGCCAAATCAGCCCGCTGCAGACAGGCAGGTCTGTGCAC